CACACACACACACACACTGCCTCTCTCCCTCTTCTCTGTCTCTGTTTCTCTGTGTATGTCTCTCCCTGCCCCCGCCCCCCAACCAAACATTTATAGAATCATGCTTGGCACATAGTTAAGAAGTTTCCTGATATTTGCTGAGCGTGTCTCAGTTCTCTGCTTTATATTCATGATTTCATTTTCTCTGCGGCGAGGCTTGTGTCATGTGAATGCTCACTTTTCCAGACAAAGCAGGGACCTCAGAGAGGTTATTAAGGAACGTGCCCCCACGATGTCAAGAGCCCCAGCAAGGGGCCAGCTGGAACTTCAACACAGGGAGTCGACTTGACTGCCACCCTGTGAGCTTCCACTTCCACTTCCCTAAGATTGTAGAAACAAGATGTTGCCTCCCGCTACTGCTTTCCAGCATATATCCACAGGACCTTTGCCCGGCGCCTGTGGCTCATGCCTGTAGTCCTAACTACTCAGGAAGCTGAAATCTGAGGATCACGGCTAAAAGACTTCCCGGACAGACAAAACTAAAACACTCTTATCTCTAGCCAGCAAAAAGTGGGTGACCTGTGACCTGCTAGCTTGTTCTTCTGCAGCCGTGACCAGCAGCTCCCAGCAGCACCCGGGACGGCCCTGGGATCATCTGTGCACCATCCACAGCCCCAGTTAGTCTAGGAGCTCTCTCTCTCTGCTGATCGGGCCGCTTTTCTTTAACCATCCTGGGCTCCTCGTTCTTCTGGCCACGGCTTGCTGAGAAAAACACTTGAGACTCTTTCAATCTCCACACCCACCTACTTCAAATACCAGGCCCACGGGTCATTTTAATGAGGGAATTTTGCTAATAACTCCTGTGCCCCAGGGCACAGCTCCCACGTCTGCAGGTGCTGGCCAGGCAGGGTTGTGTCTCAGCAGCCATCCTGGGCCGGGGCAGGCAGAGGGCAGAGCACGTGGTGCCCACAGTCAGAGCCTCAGTCAGACATGCCCCGTGGCTACCTGGAGCCCGTTGTGAAGGCTGATGCCAGGTCTGACAGGAAGAACACAAACGAAGAGGAAGGCAGGTTTTCACTCTGGGAGACAATGTCAGGTTTTCCTATGAAACAAAACCCAAAGTCACCACGGTCTGAAGCAGATGACCTGGTACTCAAAACTGTAAACAGAGCTGAGGTAGACCAGGAGCTTCTGTCCTCCTGGGAAACCAAGTCACTGGGATGGAAATGCCACACTCATCCTCACTGCTTAGGCTGGACAGAAGTTCCTGTTGATGATACACAAAAATCGTGCTGGAAGCCAGTGGTCACACCTGTAATCCTAGCTACTCAGGAAGCTGAGATGTAAGGATCAAGGTTCAAAGCCAGCCAGGGAAGGGACATCTAGGAGACTCTTTATCTCCAGCTAACCAGCAAAACGTCCAAAGCAGAGCTGAGGCTCAAGTAGTAGAGCAATAGCCTAAAGTACAAAAGCTAGAGGACAGCAACCAGGCTATGTGTTCAAGCTCCAGTACAAGCACAAAGAAAAATCCTAAGCCCAAAGTGATAAGAATTAATGATGATAGCAACGATTTCGCAAGTCCCTGCTCTGATTCAGTGTCCATCCCACGTAGGCTAGTGTAATTAACCTGGAGGACACCGCCAGAATTCAAAAGCCCAAAATCCAGCTCAGGAAGAAACTGCTGCTGAACTCTAACCCAAGTTCACAGTTAACTGTCAAGTACAGTTCACGAGCAGTTTTCTTTGGGGGAGGGGTGGTGGTAGAGATGGTGCTTTATGTAAGCGTTCATTTATTGATTCATTCACTATTTATTTATGCTGGTTCGAGGGCTTGAACTCCATGCCTGGGAATTGCCCCTTAGCGTTTACACTTAAGGCTAGTTCCAGTTCCAGCTTTTTGTTGATTCACTGGAAATAAGAGTCTCCTAGACTTTCCTGTCCTAGCTGGCTTTGACCTCGATCCTCACAACTCAGCCTTCTAAGTAGCTAAGATCACACGTGTGAACCACCAGCACCCAGCAAGCATGGTACTTTCATTCCATGAATTTAGATTGCTGATGCTGGTGGTACAGTGTTTGCTGGTGAAGATTGGTGACACCAATGGCAATAATGCAAAGAACAGTGGATGTAAGGGGTTCGAGGGAGAGGAGGACTCCAGGGCCGTCTGTGTGTACAAGCTGTGTGACTGACCTTTAAAAAAGTGACCTAACTTCTGTGAGTCTTAGCTTTGCTTCCTATTAATTGTAGGAAGCAAAATCAGTCTTATTTCCTGAGATGGTTGGAAGCATCAAATGAAATAGCCTAGGAGAAAGACTTGAAAAGCTGTAAGTTGTACACAGACCTCAGATGCCAGTGTTACTGATCCTGACATCCATTGTTGTCCTTTGGGAAACTGGCCAGGTTGTTGTAGCCGGGCACCATAGGAGCAGGCCTGTCTTGAAGACGGGACACACTCTATGCTGTGACACAAACTCTTGGGATATTATGTGTTGGCGCTGGGCTGAGTAGAATCCTCTCTACATTCAGGTCCCCTGGGAATCGCAGCAAATGCTCTCATTTAGCCACAGTGACTGCAGAGATGAAGTAAAGCTAAAGATAAATCCCACTGGGATTCGTGTCCATCATGGGTGCCCTTAAGAGGTGAGAGGGGATTCGGCGCCAGGACCACACAGTGGGGCCTCAGCCATGTGAAGATGAAGGCAGGGAGTGGAGCTACGGCAGGCAAAGGAGACTGGCGACACTGAAAGCCCCAAAAAGGCACCATTGGCGCCTCCAGCGGGGAGCCCATGAGGACACCCTCCTTGCTAGGCCCACCTGAGGTTCTTTTGTCCCCCTCCTCCACTTCTGATCCTACATGCCAGTGTTGCTGAAGGGAATCTAAAGATGGCGGATTCTTAGAGCTCTTCCAGGAGAGGCCAATAGATAAGGAAGAATTCCTTTGCAGAGCCTCTTGTGCTGCCAGGCTCTGTCTGAGTGGAATCTCACAGCCTAGAAAGTATCCTTGCCTGGTCCATTCGACAGATTAGCCACGACATTGGCAATGGAGCCATGGGTGCAGAGCAGGCTTCATGGTTGGTAAAACATCAACAGCTGCTCTTCTTTTTAATAGATACAGTGTGAATACTTGGGGATTTTGTGTGTGTGTGTGTGTGTGTGTGTGTGTGTGTGTGTGCGTGTGCATGCATGCGTGTGCATGCATGCACACAAATACTGGGTTTGAACTCAGGGCCTGCTGCTTCCACTTGTCTCATAGCTAGCATTCTTCCCCTTGAACCACAGTTTCATTTTCAGCTTTTTGCAACTGGGATTATAGGTTTGTGTCGCTATTTCCCGCTTTGTCTGGTGGAGGGTTTTTAATGATTAGGAATTGCTGGCTCACTGTGGTCAAAGATTATATAGTCTCGTTGACATTCCTGTGTGTCCTATGTATTCAAACACGAATGGTAGTTGGAAATATTCTGTTCTAACTTAGGAAAGGAAGGTAGTTTGGCTTTTTAAATGGCAAATAACGTTTAGAGCAGGTAAGGGAGCATGGTTTGCTTTTCTGTTTTATTTTGTTCGTTTCATTTTATATTACTTGACTTAGAGAAGACATTGTGTTAATTGGAGAACTACTACAGAGATACTGAATTTAATGCCTACATAATCAAACATTAAGATCCCATTGTGGAGTTCTAGGAAGCATAAACATTTCGGAATGCTAGGTGCCAGACCATATTAATGGTTTTATTCACATGGGCTAATTTTATTTCCCTACAAATTTGTAAGGTAGGAAAAGTTGAACGTACCCATCTTCCAAGCAAGAACATTGCGGTACAAAGAGGTCTTAGCCAGAATTCATCCTCAAAGCCACTTTACCAAGACGGAATGTGTAAAGTATTAAACACAAACAATGAAGTTGAGCTCACCTTTCATACTTAATATGTACAATATTTCCTTAATGATCTATGTATATATTTGTACAATGGTATTTATTGAATCATTAGATGTAAGTTGAATGTTGATCTGTGAGTTTATTTAGTGGTCATAACTTTCATTCTGGCCAATCCCATGAGTAGTTCAGATAAAAATCCAGTATTTCCAATTAATATTTAAAATCAAGCAGCAATTAATATTTTAAAATCCAGATAGAATAAGTCTGATTCAAAATTTAGATTATAATAATCCTAATTATTCTAATTAGTAGTTCTAATTAGAATAAACCTTTAATTTACTCTTAAACTTAAAAACGCTACCTTTTTTTAATCCATAGAAATACAGAGATAGAGGAGAAAGATGGATCTCGTTTTATGTTTCCTCTTTGCTCTAATTTTATGTAGAATTGTGAGAGCAATGGGGAGTAGAAGAAGAGCAACTAGGAAGTCAATGGCTCTCATTCTGATTCTGAGCCGTGTGTGTGTGTGTGTGTGTGTGTGTGTGTGTGTGTGTGTGTGTGTGTGTGTGTGCCAGTAGAGGACTTGAACTCATAACCTTATGTTCTTGATTGGCTTTTTAGCTCGATTAATGCTCTACCACTTGAGCCATAGTTCCCACTTCCAGCTTTTTGCTAACTAATTGGAGATAAGATTTTTCACCTAGGCTGGCTTTGAACTGTGATCCTCAGATTTCAGCCTCCTGAGTAGCTAGAATTATAGGCACAAGCCACTGACACTGGGCAAGAATAATTGTGTGTGTGTGTGTGTGTGTGTGTGTGTGTGTGTGTGTGTAGTACTGGAGTGATCTGAGTCTTGATGTGGAAGAAACATAAACTCAAATTGCTCTTGATCCTGTGTTGTTCAGTGGTGATGAAATTAAAGCCTTCTAACTGTGTGGAGTGTCACACCTAGCAATAATAGCATCAGTGTGCATTCCAGCGTGTAAGCAAAGCCAGACCCAAGGGAGGGTTGGGAAACCTAATCCTTTGTAGTGATGCCCTGTCACCTTCCCAGCGTGAGGCCTAGGGGGCGGGAGTTAACCTCCACTTGCCAGCAGGTGATTCAGGTCATCCTTCAATCTTCTCTATTCTGTTTTGTGTCTCAACAGGGAAGAGCTTCACTCTGACCATCACCGTCTTCACAAACCCACCACAAGTCGCCACCTACCACAGAGCTATCAAAATCACCGTGGATGGTCCCCGGGAACCCCGAAGTAAGTGGGGCTACACTCTTGGGAACCGCATAATCTATGGTTTCAGCTTCTCCTCTGGGGAGATGTCGGGCCCTCTGGGGAGGAGAACTCGTACTGTTCACACCTTCGTTCCTCAAACATATTCGCTGGGCTAGATTTAGAACTGTCCTCTGAGAGGTCAGAAGGAAAGCAGACTATTCAAGGGCCTGAGAACCATTTGGCATCCATTTGAGATTAAAGATCAGACCCTCAAATACATAGTGAAGGCCAACAGCAAGTGGAAGATGATCAAACAAGAGTAGCCAAGACACCAGAAGGTCCGAGTGGACCACTGGGACCAATTGCTACCTCTACTAGCCTTGGATTAATTGGTGAATGCTGGAAATGAGAACGATGAAAACAACCTTTCCCTCCCTCTCGGTCACATATCACAATCTTATTATGGAATTGTTCAAAATAGCGACGGGAGGGCAGAAAAGTGCTTGGAAGACCAGTAAAGACCAGTAAATATAGAAAGATGAGCCCTAAAAAATAGCTTCTGTGAGGAAAGCATTTTTTTTTTAAAGAATGAGTAGGGTTGTTTAGTCTGCAGGAAAGATGTCTTCATGGTGACTTAATGACTATCTTTGAGGAAACACAGAAGTAACACTCTCGTGTCTCCTGAGCTCCTCCCTGCCAGGACCTCAGGAGAGGTTAGGCTTCCAGGTCTGTGTGCTGACAAACCTTGGCATCTCCTCACTCTGCCAGATTCCTAGTGTGAAGTCAACATTTTTCTCTCCTCTGAGTTTGGGGGGAGAAATTGTTTTTAATGGGTCTTCTCCTTTAGTCTGTGATGTGGAAAGGTCAATGGGATTAAGAATATGGTGACTTTTGGGGCCATGGAAATAGAGTTCTTTAGCCCTCAGCAGGTATCAGAGGCTCTCTGGGCACCTCTGTTTTATCTTCTGTGCAATGCAGATAATAACGAGAACTTCTTTATACGATTGAACGAAATGAGTGATGTATGCAGGGACGCTTGCTCTTCAGGGGATGTGAGTGATCCCTGTCAAGCCCCCTGCAGTCCCCTCCTCCCTCCAACCCCCCCCCTTTGTCTCTGCTCAGTGTGATGGTTCTGTACCCTGGGTGCTCGAAATGGCCCTCTGATATGTGGTCCTCTACCAGGCATTCATTGGTCACTGCAGTTTGTGCCCACCTTTCCTGCGGTCATGCAGGAAAGGCTACCTGTAAGATACATTCTACCAGCTGCCTGGCTTCCCTGATTCTCACAGTGGGTAGAGCCACAGAGAGCCCCACACCTTCTGAGCCAGCTGGCAGATTGTGCTGCTGCTCTGTGTTTGAGTCTCCTTACCTGCATTTCCACTTGTGACTTTGATTTTCCCTGGAGGGCTCTTTCAGCCTTTGCTTTTTAAGCCCATTGGGGCATCTTGGCCATACCAGATTCAGGAAGCTCTGGGACTCAGTGATACCCCTTGATTCTTCTTCATATAAGCATAGCAAGCAGACCAAATCATGGGTCTACAAAACCATTGCCCAATACAGACCTGGTGGGGCTAAGCTAAAGACATACAGTGATCCCGCATGACATGTGACATAAATCTCCGAGTAGAGGACCAGAGAGGAAGCAGGTTCACAGGATAGCTAGGTGCAGGGCCAGGTGAGCAGGATAACAGGGCAGACACGAGGGTAGCTGTGCGGCTGGCAGCCTCACACAGATGCTATAGAATCTCTAAGTTTAAAACAAGCAGCAACTGGCTGTTGGTGATTTCACACACTGACCAGGCTGATGGAGATGCTTCACCCAGAGGACCCTTTTATAGGGCCTCTATTTCCCCCTCCTTTCGTGTGGAAGAAGTCCGGTGTTGGCCTCCCTGCCAGCCCGCACTTCCTGGAACATTTAAATAACTGACCATGTGGTGGTTGAGCTTCAGCAAAGGAATGGTAACTGCCGTGACTTTTAAGAATTGGCAAGCAGAGGGGAAATTCTCTCGATTGTAATAGGCCGCCCGTCTATACAGTTTACATAGCTCCTGCTGTTTTATAACTTAAGAAAACAGTTTGTAGGAGAGCAGACGCAAGAGATTTGCTCCAAGAGGCACCATTTGTATGCAGCCTTTCCTGCCTAATGGAATTTGAGGGTCTAGGGAAAAATTAAATGGGTGGAAATAAGGATAAAGTATGATATAAATAGGTGTTACAGCTCCAGGTAGGCAGGCTCATGTGTTTCACAAGTGAGTTCTAGAAAAAAAGCCAAATGCAGGCAGATTTTTTTTTTTAGCGCCACTTGGGAAATGCTAACTTTTCTGCCAAGGTGGTCCAGGTTTTTCAGTATTGTGTTCTCTTCTCATCTGCGTGTCTTGATTGACTACTTGTGAGTGGAGCTGTGCCCATGGGCACTTTCTAATGTAATGGTAAGGGAAGACCATGCATGTCCATCAGGACATGTTTGTGGTGTTAGTCTCTGGATTCATGGAACCACTCCAGGCCCAAGTTGAATATCATTGCAAAGTTGTCTTGTCTCAGGAAGCCCAGCACTTTGAAAGCCTACAAGATAGTCACTTAAGAAAGAGATAAGAAAAAACAGCCCCAGAGAAAGGAAGTCATTTGCTGAAGGTGAAAGGAAGTGGCTAATGATGAAGCCAAGATGAGAATGAAGAATCCCTCCTTGGTGTCCATTCATCTAGCGGAGGGATCATCTGCTCATCTCTCCAGGGGTACCAAACTCTTGTATGTATGTCATCTATGTCCAGTTCTCTCACCCAGCCTTCCTTAGTGTCCTTCTGTTTCAAGTGAGGAACTGACTACATGATCTCTCACATCCGTCCCGGCTCTACAGTTGCCTAGGAATGGCAGATGGTGGCACTTCATTGAAGGTGTGGTACTTCCATTTGATGTGTTTGTGCCAAAGACCAGAGAGAAAGCTTAACTCATTCAACCCGCTGTCTGAATAAAGAATTGAGAGGAAAAACCCTGTTATACCCCATCTATCAGTCATACAGATGAAACATTCAAGGTTTTCCTCCTTCTCCACTGTTTTCAGTGTGGAATCTTACAAATAGCATATTCCAGGTAGACGGAAGTGTTTTGTGAATTCAGTGGCTACTCCCTTTTCTATAGTAGCCATCCTTCCACTTAACAAATCGAAACTTGCTTTTCCCACATCCTGTGTGAAATTTTTACATCTCAGACCAATACAGAAATTAGCAATTGTTGAAAGTTACATTTGTTCCGAAGAACATATATTATCAGAAGATACTTTCTGCCTGAGATCATTTCTTACAAGCAGTAGTGAGTAGTCTGTTGTAAGTTAGCATGTATAATATTTAGCTTGCTTGTAAGATGGTGTAAGCATAAAAGATATGGTAAAAGGAGTTTTTTAACTCAAAATAGAAGGTTTTTAAGAGGTATTTTCTTTCCTTTTTATATCTCGAAGGAGCCTAGCTCTCAGTCTATATGTCTGTATTTTAGTTGACTGTGGGAATACTCAGAGACAAAAAGACATTTCCTACAGATATTTCATGACATAATTGGAATGCATGTTTGGATTCAATGCAATGGAGAAAGGCATTCGCTGAGGGAAGGCTGGGAGAGTGAACACGCAGGGTACTAGCTGCTTTGGGGCCGGACTGCCGGAGTGACATGGGCAGCTGTCACCGAATGCACAGGTAACTGTTACATGCAGAACACTGAGAAACTGCTCTGAAAAGCATACAGTCACTGAAACACACCGGCCAATTCTGGGACAACTTCTGCCCTTGGGTAAAGGCCTGCTTCAACTTGATCTCACGATTGCAGTAACAGATGGCAAGATGCAGTTGTCCCTCAGAGCTTTGGAGAACTTACTGGGATGCTAGTCTTCTTGGTGACTGGTGATTCTTTCTTTTTTTTTTAACTTAATAGGGAGTCATAGTCAAAATAGGCTAACTGAAATGCCTAACTTGTAGTGTTCAGGGATTTTTAAAGTACTTTGTTGAGCTATGTCACATGAATATAATTTTCTTCTATTATTTTGAAAGTAAATAGCAAGCCTAGTATATCTGTCTTTGTATGTGAATGTATAGACACATGTCTATCTAGGCATGTGTGTATATCTATATCTATCTATCTACATATACACACACATACATATACATATAAAGGTCTGTGTGCTGTAAGTATATTTCAAATGAAGAAGAGAAATCCATGAAAAGTATTTGTAAACTTATGGTACTTTGGACTTAAACATACTTAAAATCAGAGCCTGAGATGTAGCTTAGCGATAGAGCACTTGCTTCGCATGCACAAGACCCTGAGTTCAATCCCAGGACTGAACAACAAAAGAATACTTAAGACCGACAGAAATATATGAGATGAGTGTGTCATGGGTTCTTATAATTAACGTGTAGGGTATTCTTTCACATTATTTTCAAAGGTTGGACATGTGGATTAGTGATAGAGTGCTTGCTTGGTATACATAAAGTCCTGGGCTTGATCCTTAGCACTGAAAAGTTACTTTCTCTTAATAATAATAATAATAATAGCTAACATGAGATAGTGTTAATTATTTACCCAATATTGTTCAAAGTACTTCAAGTAGATTCATTTATCAAACCTTGAACCGAGAACCAAACTCAAGGTCACACCAGTGAGCCAGAACTGCAACTCAGCAATCTAGACAAGAGAATCCACGGACGCCATAGTCAGTTTTTTTAAACTGTGTTGTCATTTGAGCTTTGTTGTATTGTAACTCTGAATTTTTTATTAGGGGAGTTTATTGATATGGGTCTGGTTTACATATAGTTCTCTTGGAAAAAGCCAAACCCTGTGCCTCTCGCCAACCTGTACAGACAGGAGAGACTCTTCTTTTCTTCCAAGTAGGGCTAGAGTGAACTAAGACCCCCTCAACAGTGCCTGCTATACAGACACTGATACAAGCAGTTTGTTCTGCATGCCATGGAGATGTGCTTGGGGACCTGATATCAATGGGACAATAAAATATACGGCACCACACTGGGCACCAGTGGCTCATGCCTGTAATCCTAGCT